GATCGACAAATCCCAAGACTGGCAGGCAAGATGGCAGGTAAGCTGCTACCTCAAGTCTCAAGAACCAGAGGTCAGATGAACAGGAGCCAGCTGCAGGATGCACAGCAAGCAAAAGCCAGGGAGCCTTGCAAGAACGTCTACTTATATTTGATGCAGGCCACACCCCCAAGGAAACTCCCTTTCAGCTGATTGGCTGCTCACAGCAGATCCCATCATGGAGGTAATCACATTATATCAAATCTCATTATGGAAATGATCACATCATCATATGATTGCCAAACTACATCATAACTGCTAAACCACTGAGAATCATGGCTCAGCCAAGTTGACACACAATCTTAATGGTTATAAGAGGGAAGCCTGATTACTACTGGTTGGGGTGTAAATCCAGGCTCCTCATAATGTCTCCACTGTCACTGAAGGTGGGGAATCATCATTACCAACTTGTGGGGATAGAGGTCTTGGGTCCCTAGTTGGCCTTCTCTGACACCATTCTAGTGGAAGGAAGGAGGACTAAGGTGTCTCCTTACAGGCTGACAAAGGTATAAGTCTAGGTTCCCAACTTGTTCTTTCCTTAAGTGAGATGAGGGTAAAACCATAGATTTTTCTGTGGTGTTTTCCTGGAGTAAAGTGATATAAAAGTTTTATGTCTTGTTAGACTTCCCCTCTCCTTGTCCTCTAACTTGAGAGATCAAGCTTTCTTTGAAGCTTTTTTTTTTGTGTGTGTGTGTGTGTCTACAGTTACTGGCATTCGAGTTGCCAGCTTCTTCAGCAACAAGTCTAGGATATATGAGGGAGAAATAAAACCCAGGCTTTCACCATTATGTTGTTTCTTGGGCCCCAAGATCCCTCACCAGTTTGTCTTTTCTCTTCACTTTCCAGAGTTTTCTTATATTTGTTTTATAATGTCCGGGGATTTTAGTTTTACTTAGAGGGAGGGATAGGGAAAAGTATGTCTACTCTCCATCTTTCTGCAGATCAGTCCTTTGAAGGGTTTTAAGCTGCAAAGGCATTTGCATTTGACAGTTGAGTGTAAGTGGAGAATGCTCAGAAATAGGAGTCAGGGTAGAGATGGCCTGAAAGTGAGTGACAGTAAAGGCAGCAGCATCTGTTAGAAAGCCTTCTAGACCAGAGGAAATCTGATGATACCCTGAAGTATGCAACTAGAATGGCACAGGCACAAATCAGATCAGAAGTCTGAACATAGAATGGGCACCAGTTGGTGTGACATACTTGTGCATACCAGCTAAATATCAGCCTCAAAAATATGGCAAAAGGGATGGAAAAGAGGGGACATTCTGAGAGATATTTAAAAAGTAGACTTGATTGTACTGACCAACACAGGGTGAGATATAATAATGAAATTAGAATCACTCCCAAGTTCTTAATTTTGATAACTGAGTGGATGGGGGTATCATTAACAGAATCACAGAGTACATGGAAGGAAACACGCTTTGGGGGAGGGGAGGAGTGGAGATAGTGATTTTGATTCATGTCTCTTTGAGGACTAAGGTGTGCCTGACCCAAGCCGTGGTATTTTCAATCACTTCACACTCATGCGAAAGCGGGATAATGAATAGGGAAGACCAAAGAAGAGTTGATGCCTTTGAATTATCATGCTGGCAAAGAATATTGAATATACCATGGACTGCCAGTGGAACCAACATATCTGTCTTGGAAGAAGTACAGTCAGAAAGCTCCTTAGAAGTGAGGATGGCAAGACTTTGTCTCACTTACTTTGAACATGTTATCAGAGGGACTAATCCCTGGAGAAGGACATCATGCTTGGTAAAGTACAGGGTCAGTGAAAAAGAGGAAGACATCCCAGTGAGATGGATTGACACAGTGGCTGCAACAAGGGGCTCAAACATATCAGCAATTATGGGGATGTTACTGGACTGGGCAGTGCTTTGTTCTGTTGTACATAGGGTCGCTATGAGTCGGTATCGACTTGATGGTACTTAACAACAACAAATTTTGAGTCTAAGGTATGTACGAACCATACAGAAGTCCTAACAAGACGTTAGGGCTCAGCAGAAAGTCAGATACAGAAAGACGTTTTTGTATCTTTGGTTTAGTAAGTAAAACTTAAAGTCAAATGCATGGAGATTATCCAGGAAATACAAGCAGAATGAGAAAAGAGGGCTAAGAATAAGATCCTATTAAACCCATCTGTTTAGGGCCAAAATAAGAGAAACCACGAGAAGAAAAGAACATGCTATCAGAGAGTTAGGAAGAAAACAGAGGAGTATAGTTCAATTCGTTCCATAAGCATTTACTGAGTGCTTACTATGTGCTACACATCATGCTGGGAGACAGGCTTTCGAAAATCTGAGTCTATTAAACAGATAACTTTTGTAAAGTGTATAGTGTAACCAGCCCAGTGATAGACATATGCTCAGCGAGCAACAGAACCATGGAAAAGGGTACCGAACACAGCCTAAGACAGTAAGAGGAAACTTTCCAAAGTTGATAACACCTAAGCAGAATCTTTAAGTATAATAGGAGTTACCTATGTAAGGAAAGACAGATGGGAAGTCATGCCAGGCCAAAGAATCAACATGAACAATGGCAAATGGCCATGGAGGCCAAGAGAAGAGAGCGAATTGTCTGAAGGGAACGGTCAGCAGGGTGAAATGCCACTGAGACAGGAAAATAACATCAGATTAAAGACGGTCCTTTGACTTTGTCACTTATGCAGTCACTGGTGACCTATTCTATGGCAACTTCTGTGAAGTGACAGAAACAGGGGGCAGTGGGATCAAGAGTGACTGGAAGAATATGAAGTGCAGGTAGGGTATTTCTCAAGGAGCTTCGTGGAGAACAAAATCAAGATGGGATACCTAGAAATGGACAAAGATCTAAAAACTGTTTTGAGATCAGACAGAATTGAGGAAATTTACAAGTTGTAGGAAAGAAACCAGAGTACATGGAAAAGTTTTTAAAATGTTGGTGACTTCATTCTTTCAATTGCACAATAAATACATAGCGCATCTACATTGTTGAGTGCAACATTCCAAGATAAAGACAAACAACTGAGCCCCCTTCATAGTAGTAACATCATGTGTTCCAGAAACTTGAGAAATAATAAAAATAAATAAATAAAGAGCACAAAAATTGTCTGTACTTCAATTATAAAGGTAGCTTGATATAAATATAATGGAACCTTTGGTTTTGTCACATTTTTGCAAGCAATACCACAATTCAGGATAAAAATTCCGTGTTGAGGTTTATCTTGTTTACTTCATAAGAAACGATTATTTTAATAAAACTTTAATCTGTTGTATGCATTTTAGCATGGAATATACATTTTTAATGCTATTTTATGTTTTAGTTATTACCAACATCCAAATGCACATCAAATCTGCATGATACAAAAGCCCAGTAGAAAAGATGTACAGTAGTGTGTGATGGTTTAATATGTGTGTCAAGTCCTGCCTTAATGTTTCTGAGCATTCAGAGATAGAAAACCAGTCATCTAAAAAATGAAAGCACACAAATGGTCATCTAATGGTGACTGAAGCCAGGAGAAATCCCAAGGAAACGGAGAATAGCTTCTCATATTTTCAGACTCAAGTTACAGAACTATAAGGTTGTAAAGAACCTCAGACACCATCTATTATTATTTTCCACACCCTAAATACAAAACTCTCTAGCATCAAATTCACAGACCTCTTTAAATGAAACAGAGCCTTCTATCTGAGAAGCTACCTATTCTATTACTGGACAGTTAAATATGGAGTATTCCCAAAATATACCCCTCTGGAACTCTGCATTATAAGACTACTTCATTTCTATGTGGCAGATCCTTAAATATTAAAAGATACTTGCCAAATATGCACATTAAGTCTATTATTTTTCAGATTAACCATTTTCACCAATCTCTCCATTCTTTACTTGTATGATTTATTTTCATACTAGCCCCCCTTTTCCAGACGCTTTCTAATAAATTAATGATTTTTTTAATCCTCCCTCTTAAACTGAACACAAATTTCTAAATGTGAAATAACAAAGTAATACTATATCATTGTATAGAGTGAGTATTTTTTAAACCAATCCTACCAACAACTTATATTTGAGCTATGGAGTATTTTAATATCCAGGGATTTAAACTGCAACCAGCCCAAGCTTTCCCCAGATGTAGAACACTGACTTATTCTGTTTATGTAGATGTGTTGTATGTTATTTCTACAATTATTTTCATTCAAAATATAAGACTGTAAAGATTTTCCTACTTGTCTATCTTATTAGTTTTGTCCCCAAAGTCCAACATTATTTTGAATACTGATTTAGAAATCTATATTTACTGTCACTCCAAGATTTTGATCTCTTAAATATCTGATAGGTATATTTTCTAATTCTTCATACAAGTAATTGATAAAATTAAACAGAATGGGCATAGGGGCAGAATTTTATAGTAAACACACAGAAACCTTATTTCTAGTGACATTAATCCATACACCAGCATCTTAAAGCAGTTATTTATTTAGCTATGAATCTGGCCAGGCTATGTAGACAAAACTATCCTCAGAAAACAAGGAAAATATATAACTAAAATTGAGACACCATACTTTTGTAAATCCATGAATCCTATAAAAGCACAAAAAGGTTAATCTATGTGGCTTGTTTATAATCACTAGTTTATTTTCTAGGACTCTGAAATCAGTATCAGTTTGATAATATTTTACAGAAACTGTCATGGATAGACATCAAGCTTGTTAATCTATGTTCTTCAGAATACAGTTTTCACTGGCCTTTGCCCACATCAAATCTTTAAATCTGTCAAAAACACTTTGACCCAAAACCCATGCTTTGTTCTTAAACACAATTTAAATACCTGGCTATTATTTCCTATACATTCCTAAAATCATAATTTTAGCTGGAAGAACATCTACAAATGTTCCCTGCCTCCACCCAAATTTTGAGAAGCAAGACTACTTGTCAAAAAGGTCCAGTAAAATAAACATTATCTATATATGGTATTAATTTCACTTTGTTACCTCATATAAAACTGTTGTGTTCCCATGTAGAAGAGGTCCATAACAGATATAGGAATGTCCAACAACCCAGCCTAAATCAGAAGCTGCCCACCACACCTAAAACATAAGAAGATAGTAAAATGCATATATCTTAATAAAAAAAATGTCATGAAATCTGTCTATAAAACAATGATTACCTCTCCAGGTTTAAGTCCATATATAGAAGACATTGACCAGTTTAGCATTACAGCATATCCTCCAGTGGGCCTAACCACACCCTAGAGGAAAGACAAAAGAAAGTTAAAATTAATAAACAGTAGGTGAAAAGATTCTCTGTCTTTATATTATCCATCTAAAAAATTCCTGGTTTAAAATGTTTTATATTACTATAAACTACAAATTATTTTGCCTTACATATAACTTAATCTGAACCATTATTTCTTTATCTCCTCCAATAATAAACAGAATGAATTATCAACTTCAGCACTATCTGTACAATCCATTCTCACAGAACATTCTGTACCTTTTAAAGAAAACTTAAAATTTAAAAAAAGCATATGCAAAAAAAATTTTCATTAGTAACATATTGGATTGACATTACATTTTCAGACTTGTTTCCAGAACAAAAATGGGAATTTTCAAAATTAAAATGTACAAGTAAAAAATGCAGTTGTGTACATAAAATACAGACTTACACAGGAACTTCTATTCCTTAAGATTATTAAATAATAATAGGCTGCTTAGAAGAAACAAAGTCATTTTCTAACTGGAGCCTCATTACAATGTTACACTTAGGATCCTGCTGGCACAGTACTGCCAATCCCATTGCCTTCTAGTTGATTTTGACTCATAGTGATTACCTACTGGCAGCATGAGGAACCAAGCTTCATGGATCAGATCTGAGACTAACAGGTTTGCCTTATATTGCATTTTGTGCAAAAGTCAGGATTATAACATCACAGTATTACAGCTTTCATGAATCACTTTCAAGCAGTTATCTTTCGCATTGTGAACATATTCAACTTTAATACAAGATTAATATTTGAAAATTGGGCATAAGAGTAACAGGAAATATGAACCAATGGCAAATTGAATAATTAATTTTATTGATTACTATAAGTATGAATCATTATTAGCTCAATAAGACATAGTCATGTGGATATTCAATATGAGTTGTTGTTTTTAGGTGTCATCTAGTCGTTTCCAACTCACAGTGACCCCATACACAACAGAATGAAACACTGCCCCATCCTAGACCATCCTCACAATCATTGCTATGGTTGAGCCCATTGTTGCAGCCACTGTGTCAACCCATCACGTTGAAGGTCTTCCTCTTTTTCGCTGATCCTCAATGTTACCAAGCATGATGTCCTTCTCCAAGGACTGGTCACTCTTCATAACACGTCCAAAGTACATGAGATGAAGTCTCACCATCCTCACTTCTAAGAAGCATTCTGGCTGTACTTTTTCCAAGATAGATTTGTTTGTTCTTCCGGTAGTCCATGGTATAGCCAATATTCTTCGCCAACACCATAATTCGAAGGCATCGGTTCTTCTGTCTTCCTTACTCATTGTCCAGCTTTCATATGCATATGGGATTGAAAATACCATGGCTTATGTCAGGTGCACCCTAGTCCTCAAGGCAACATCTTTGCTTTTTAACACTTTAAAGAGGTCTTTTCCAGTAGATTTGCCCAATGCAATACATAGTTTGATTTCTTGGCTGCTGCTTCCATGGGCACTGATTGTGGATCCAAGTAAAATGAAATCCTTGACCACTTCAATGTTTTCTTCGTTTATCATGATGTTTCTTATTGGTCCAGCTGTGAAGATTTTTGCTTTCTTTATGTTAATGTGTAATCCATACTGAAGAATGGAGTAGAAAATTCATTTTGTTTACTATTGGAGGAGATAAAGAAATAATGATTCAAATAAAATTATATGAAAGTCAAAGTAATTTGTAGCTTATAGAAATATAAAACATTTTAAACCTGGAAGAAATGTCAAAATAATTAGAGTCTATCATTAAAGATTCTCATTAAAAACAAAACTGAACTGAAAGAAGGAGAAAAACCATTCTTTCTCACGGTCATAATTTTTCATTGGTCTTTGACAACCGCTTTTAATTTTTTAAAGGATGAGTATAAAAATTTTAGTCAAAAATTACTATACCATCTATTAGTTCAGACTCTAGATCTACAATTTTGTTTTGCCTCCAAAATAGTCAGATGATAATATTTTGACATTCTGTACACTTGATGTAGTATAGAAAAAAGAATTGCATGGTTTCATATTTTCCATGTAGGTATTTTATAAGAAGTTGGAAAGTAGAGAAATATTTGGAAGATTTGGTTTAAAAAGAGAGTTTCTTTATTATAAATATTAATTTGTGTCTAAAAATAAAATGATAAAGCTTTTTGTTTCTTATTTGTAATCATATTTTCCAGGTAATGAAAGTTAAAATACAAAAGAGAAACCCAGCTCAGCCTCTGAAAACACATAAATAATAAAGCATTACGTTCTAAGTAAGTAAAATGAATCAGTAACTACAAATAGAATTATATATTTGAAATCTTGAGTATGAGGGAAAAATATTTATTCAACATCTATGTTGTTGCTATGGTTAGGTGTTGTCAAGTTGGTTCCAACTCATAGCGACCCTATGTACAATAGACCAAAACACTGACCTGTCCTGTGCAATCCTAACAATCATTGTTATGCTTGAGCCCATTGTTGCAGCCACTGTGTCAACACATCTTGTTGAGAGTCTTCCTCTTTTTCGCTAGCCCTCTGCTTTACCAAGCATGTTGTCCTTCTCCAAGGACTGATCCCTTCTGATAACATGTCCAAAGTATGTAAGACATAGTTTCAAACCATCCTTGCTTCTAAGGAACATTCTGGTTGTACTTCTTCTAAGACAGATTCGTTCATGCTTTTAGGGTATATTCAATATTCTTCGCCAACATAATTCAAAGGCATCGATTCTTTGGTCTTCCTTATTCATGTATATGAGACTATTGAAAACATCATGGCTTGGGTCAGGCGCACCTTAGTATTCAAGGTTGTCACCTTTGCTTTTCAACACTTTAAAGCGGTCTTTTGCAGCAGATTTGCCCAATGCAATACATCTTTTGATTTCTTAACTGCTGCTTCCATGGGTGTTGATTGTGGATCCAAGTAAAATGAAATCCTTGACAACTTCCATCTTTTCTCTGTTTATCATGAACTTGTTTATTGGTCCAGTTTTGAGGATTTTTGTTTTCTTTATGTTGAGGTGTAATCCATACTGAAGGCTGTGGTCTTTGATCTTCATCAGTAAGTGCTTCAAGCCCTCTTCACTTTCAGCAAGCAAGGTTGTGTCATCTGCATAATGCAGGTTGTTAATGAGTCTTCCTCCAATCCTGATGCTCCATTCTTTTTTTGAATCTTTGTGATTATTTTCTTTACGTACTTACACTTTATCTACCTTGAAAAGAAGACATAATATACTAATACATTCTCAGAAAATCCCTGTAGCTTGCCAATATACTGCATTGTTTTTATGTAGGAACAGCCATAATCCTTAAAGTCTGCAGGAGAACTTGAAAGACATCCAGATGGGAATAACATGGGATAACCCCAAATAAAGACATGAAAGTGAATTCTAGCTCAAAAATGCAAAGGAGACAATGTGAAGGCCCTCTTTTTTTTTTAATACTTAAAATGTATCAAATATTTCCAAAATTGAATCCATACAAGTAAAATTAATGACTCATTATTAGTCACCCAAGAAGACTGAGGTGTGAAGCAAGATTAAGAGCTTGAGAGTCTTCATTCAAAAAGTGTTGTTTCGAAATTGATCTATAAAAATCTGAAAGACAAATTTCAAATTATTTGAACAACTCATACATCCTAAGTTGAGTCCCTCTATCATTTAACTCTGTAACAAAGGCTTATGATAGGCAAATACACATATTTACATTCAAAAAATATGTATATTCTTTCACATATACGTATGTAAATATATATATATATATATGTACGTATGTATATACATATGTTGTGTTGCTGTTAGCTGCCATCAAGTCGGCCCCTGACTCATGGTGACTACACGTGTTAAAGAGTAGAACTTCTCCATAGGGTTTTCTTTCCTCAATGTTTATGGAAGCAGTTTGCCAGGCCTTTCTTCCACAGAGTGGCTGAATGGGTTCAAACTGCCAATCTTTAGGTTAACGATCAATCACAATTGCTTGTACCACTCAGAATCCTTGTATATACATATACTCATGTGTATATATATTTGCATGTATTGTGTAAAGATATAAATATAGATATTCCAACTCAGAAAAAACAAAATGAGAAGAGGAAATAAATATTGTATTTGAAGAAAAGAAGTCCATAATTAATGGTGATTGAAGTCAGAGAATTGAGAAATAAAGGCATAGTTCTGATTACTTAAAAAATTCAACACATCAACAATATGCTTGCGATTATAATGGCTTTACAGATGGTGTTACCTCTTTCTAGAATGATTTCCCACCTTTACTTCTTCACACCAGTACTTAAAGACTCTGCAAAATGCCACCTCTTATGGGACTCTGTTCCCAATGCACAGTTTGTGTTAAATGTTTCTCCTGTACTCTTCAGTGGTTTAGAGCCTGCCTGTTAACCAAAAGGTCAGCAGTTCAAATCCACCAGCCACACCTTGGAAACCCTATGGGACAGTTCTACTCTATCCTATAGGGTAACTATGAGTTGGAATTAACTTGGTGGCAACAGGTTTCTTTGGTACTCATCTGTAGCTCCTGGGCCTGGAAACCCCGTCAGAGGACTGACATCACCAAGCTACTGCTGTGCCTCCCCACACCACTTGAGTGCTGTGAGGAGAATGCTCACAATTTGTTGTGGAATAGGCATTTAATATATTTGTTGAGCAATTAAATTAGTGGACAAACAGTTGAAAGGATACATGCATGCCTAAACAATAAATTTCTTTTTAAAAATACTCTTCTTTGTTTAGGAGAAACCCTTGAGACTTGGGTAACTTAGAGAATCATACTAGAAGAAATGAAATATTTCCATTTGGGATATTTCATCAAACAAAATCTCTTGCTACAGACTTTCAGATAACTCCAAAAGTGCTTCTGTGGAGGATACTTTAGCAGCTGTATAATGTTGTATTGATCTAAACAACTGTGAGAAAGGGGTCAAAAGTGAAGCCAGTTCAGCATTTTAACTGCAAGAACTGTACCAAAGATTAAAAAAAAAGTTAACTGCTTTTTTTGTTTGACTTTCATTT